ACAACAGGAAGTGAAGTTACCGGCAGTTTCTTACCTGGAGATCCTGCCGGTAACTTCACTTCCTGTTGTAGGCTAATAGCAATAAGCCACAGCGTCGCAATGTGTTGGCGCCTTTTAACGGCTTTCAGCAGTCATGCATTGTCAGGCTTCCACCTTATGGTTGTCCCTGGAAGAGGAGGTTAATGGAAATCTACCAATGGGGAAACCTGCTACAGGGACAAGGGACTTCCAGTTACTTTGGAGAGATGTTCTCTTACTTCCTGTTGAGTCTTTGGGACAGGCAGTCAAATCTCCCCAGAGGAACACTGACAGCATTAAAATGCACAACCAAGAGGGAGTTTTTTTTGCATTCCCTACGGCACGGGTAGCCAAACTCCGGCCCTCCAGCTGTGGTGAAACTACAAATCCCATGATGCATCTCTCTCCGGGAGAGAAGCTTTGTAATTATGAACACATGTATTTTTGTACATACAAACAGTCCCTGAATCTAACCTGATATCACCCCCTTGCAGTCACTGCACAGCAGGCCTGGAGGTTGAGAGGAAGAAGCAGTACAAGGAGCCAATCAGTTTATCTTTTTGCTTAAAAAATTTGCTTTTGAAAGCAAAATGACGAGACATGCGCTCATTACTATGCTGCTTCTTCTTTCAGTGTCCAGTTGGGGGAGGGTCCAGGACAACCTGGGCACAGAGGAAGTGGGTTGAATGATGCTGGCCATAAGAATGAGGTCATCTAGGGGCAAAAAGCCGTGTACTGAATATTGCAGCAAACGAATAGTCTTTTTTATAGACTATTCCTCTGTATCTTTTTATTTTGGGCTGGAATTCAGCATTAATGATGGAGCTTCTTCTTGTGATATTTGGGACCCTCAGCATTCCTAGGATCTCCAGATACCACCACTGCCTAGGCAGCATTGGTGGAAGGAGGGCATGTAAGGTAATATTTTTAAAGTTTGATTTTTATTTTTGTTTTATTCCGGCATTTACATGGGGGGTGAAGGGGGGGTGGGTGGGTCTGACCTATAAGCAGACCTTTGATGCAGCAAATGTAAAGTTTTTGTTTAGAAGCGCCATCCCTCCCAAGGAAGGAGTACTGGGCATATATGCAGGGAGCAGCCCCAATACAGTCAGGGGAACTGGGACATCTGAAAGAAAGCACAAAGAGGGGCGCCTTTCCTGGTGCAGATATGTTTATTCCAATAAGCAGGTTAAAAAGTAAACTGGCACAAGGATAGAGTGATAACAAGCTGCAGAACAATAAAAACCGGAGCAATTAAAGGATCCGTGCAGTGCGTCCTGTGTATGGATCAATGAAGTGTCGACGCGTTTCCGGGGCACGCCCCCTTCGTCAGAACGTCAGACCTTTGATGCAAGTAATATTGACAGTATTGCAACCAATCAGCATTCATCTTTTATTTTCCTGCCATTCCATAGTGATGTACGCTGGACTCTCAATGGAGCTGTGGAGCCCATTGGGCAAAAACTTCACTAACTGCTTGAGTCTGAACAGCTGGCAAAGTTTGGCAAAAAGGAAAATCTATCTGCCAGCTTCCCCTCATTTACAATAATCATATTAAAGGTGGTGTAAATTGTGGGTGAAAATTTATGGTTAAAACAATGGGTAATAAGTTTATGCGAGGGCGATTGGGATGTGCTGCGCAATCTTCCTACAAAATAGCTTTTGCTGGATTATCGTCACCTGTGGAGTAAGATGCTGGAAGCCGGTAGAAAGGTTTCCAAGAGCAGCTTTATAAACATATCAGATCTTCATAAATGGTGCCAACGTGTTTCCCCTTCTTGGTAAATGTCAGAATTAAATGTGCATGGTAATGATTCAGATTCGGATGTTTTACTTAGGAATGGAAAATACACAGAGAACAAGAGGTTACTATGCGCCAAAAGTTTAAAGGACAACTATGGGGTTAAGGCTTTTCCCCATAGTTCTCCTTAGGGTAACGGGAGGACACAAACGTTACCCTAAGCTCAGTATATAGAGAGCTACTGCTCGCTGTATACTGAGACGCCGCAGCTGAAGCGGATCCCGACAATTATGTCTGGATCCGCCCAGCTGCGTGAGTGACAGCTGGCTCTGCCTATCCATAGGCAGAGCCAGCTGTACCCACCCCCTCCCCCGTCCGATCCGCCAGTCAGCGCTGGCGGATCAGAGCAGGGAGGGGGGAATCCAGCCCCTCCCCTGTCACGGCAGAGAGCCGTGACAGGATCGAGAGGTGAGCGAACGCCGGTATGTGTTCGCTCACCTCCCGATCTACTGAGCCGACCTGTGACAGTCTCATTGTCACAGGTCGGCTAGAACTATGAGGTGAGTGGAAATCACTCATCTCATAGTTCTCCTTTAACTCCTTTTCATGAAACATTGTATTCCTTGTTCCATTTTTCCTGTGCCATCACCAATGGTGGAGCTGTTATCTAGTGCAATGCTCCTCAACCTTCTTCCAGTCACGGCACCCTTTGAAAGTATGCAAATTCTCAAGGCACCCCGGTCTAAAATGTAAAAAAAATTTAAATGTAAAAACAACATGTGACACTCTTCCCCCTCAAAATTTATAGCAGACTCTTATCCTAGTTAGGGGTCTGCTATAGGTTTTAATGGGGGAGCCTATGCTATAAAAAAAGACATGCTTCCCAATTTCACATCAGAAACCCCCCTTCACACCAGGAGCCCCCTTTCACAACAGAGTTTCCCCTTTCACAGCAGGGTTGCCTCTTTTACATCATAGCCCACCTATCCCATGAGAGTCCAACTTCACATCAGAGTTCCCTCTTTCACATTAGAGTCCCCCTTTCATATGAGTGCCCACCTTCACATCAGACTCCCACTTCACATCAGAGTCCCCCTTCACATCAGAGTCTCCCTTTATATCAGAGTCCCACTTCGCACCAGAGTACCCCTATCACATCAGAAACCCCCTTCACATTAGAGTCCCCTCTTTCACATCAGAATCCCCCTTCACAACATTAGAGTCCCCTCTTTCACATCAGAGTTCCCTTTCACATCAAAGTCCCCCTTCTCTTCAGAGTTCCCCTATCACATCAAAGTCCCCCTTCTCTTCAGAGTACCCCTATCACATTAGGAACCCCTTTCACATCAGAGTTCCCCTATCACATCAAAGTCCCCCTTCACATCCAAATTCTCCTCAAATCAGAGTCCCCCTATCATATGAGAGTCCCCCTTCACATCAGGAGTCCCTTTCACATCAGAGTCTCCCTTCACATCAGAACCCCCCTTTCACAGCAGCACCCCCTCTTTACATCCGGAGTCCACTCCACATCAAAGCATCAAAGTCTCAGATCAATAGCCCCCACTTCACATTAGGAATCCCCTTCACATCAGAGTCCCCTCTTTCAACTCGTCTCCCCCCCCCCCCCCCATCACATCAGGAGCCCCCTTCACATCAAGAGTCTCCTGATGTGAAGTAAAGCATGAGGAAATTTTGACGTCATCCCTGTAGAAGCCAGACAGCTCCCCAAGATTCCATGGCACACTATTTGAGAAAGTCTGACCTGGAGGAACTCATCAGTTGCAGTGTGATCGGGCTAAACAGCAATAAACAAGCACCAAGATTATATAAAATACCCACATAATTACAGTGCAGTCTAAATAAGTAATCTGGAGCTTCTGACCCAAGCCCCTCCCATATGTAGCTGCTATGTGGTTTGTTCCTTCTGCCTTGCAGCACTGGGATCTTGTGTTCAGTTCCCTCCGGGGAGTCTCTCTGCCTTGAGTTTGCATGTGTTTGTGATCCTGCTCTGCTCTCAGGCCAACAACATGCTGAATACCGAACCCTGGCAGGTCTAATATTAATATTATCAGGCAAACTACGCAGAAACACTTTATCAGCCTTGAATTGTGCAATGTGTGAATCGACCTCATTAAGATTCTCCAAAGATCAGAAAAATCTGCATTCACAAATCAGCCAATTACAATTCCCTGAAAATAAAATTCATGAATGGAACTTTGTATCTTTCACAAGTCACCTGTACTAAATGGGGCGTCCTAATCGACTTCAGTTATCCAACCACGTGAAAGGCGAATTCCAGCGGACTTATTTAATCAGCACATGATTGGATAATTGGAGGGAATTTATTGTGTGACGTTTCCCAACTCCTTTAGTGAATCAAGCCAAATCTATAACCAATCACTGGCACGTGATTGCCGCCCTCATGCCAAGGTACGTCTGTTGACCAGGACTGGTAGGGAGTGATATCTGATCCATTAAGCATTGAGTAATTTGTCAACACTATATAAAAAAAGAAATAACAAAAATATCAACAACCCCCCCCCCTCCCCCCCTTTCCTATGTCACCAAAAGACAGATGGAATTTTTAACTAAATGTGGTCAGTTCCACACCAATCTCGCATCCCCCATGCTTCCACACAATCACACATTCACCCCCCTCTAATTACATTAATGTCATGTGTCCTTTCCCCTTATTTTTTATCTAAAAGGCTTTTTTATGGAGCAAGTTTAATGGGTCCATCTGCCCCCACCCTCCCACCAGTGTCACCACCCTCTTATTAGCCAGGCAGAGCTGCCTTCTCTCTTGTGTGTTGGTGGACTGGACACTGAGAAGCAGATTGCATGTGGACAAGACCAAAAGGTATCTTCTGTAAGAAGCAAGCCAACTCTCTAGAGATCCCAGAACTGAGGAAGAAGGGAGGAGGAGGGGGGCAAGTCAGAGAAGAAGAAGGGGGAGAGAGACAGAAGAAGGAGAAAGAGCAGGAACAGGGGAAGACTTGAGGCACATTACAGCGACCAGAAGAAGAGGACACCAGAGGCAGAATCTTGACAGAGAAAGTTTCTCATTTCTGAAGAGCTGCAAAGTTTCTGAGAGTTGGAAAAACTTTGGAGAGGAGAAAGAGAGAGAGAGAGAGAGAGAGGAAACCAGAGAAGATTTAGGGGGAGGGAGCTAGTGCAGAGACTCCTAGTGAGCTGGTGCCCCTCCAAAAATTAAGGACACACCAGGCCTTTTATTTTAGGAATGAATGCCACTGATCCATGTGTGTCTTATTGTGAACCCCCTACCATGGATTGTTACTACAGCCCGGCTCCGCAAGTCAGAGAGCTCCAGAGTTCGCCTTTTAGGGCATTCCAGCCCAGTGATAAGTTTAGTCCCGCTTTCCTGGCCAGCAAAGGACAGAACTTTGGGGACAAGTCCAGGAGCACCTCGTACCCTCAGGAGTGCCAGACGTTGGATGGCAGCGCCAGGGAGCAGCAGAACCAGGGAAACTTCCCCAAGTACCAGAGCCACCACCAGCAGTCCCAACAGCAGCAATCCCACATCTACATGCAAAACAGCTCCTGCAAATCTCCTTCAGACAGCCTGAAACTGCAAGACAGCCCAGGAGAGCCTCTCATCCCCTGCTACGGTAAGAGGAACCATCTGCACCCCTCCCTAACCCTGCTAACTACTCAGATTATTTTATTTTAATCAAACTTCTTAAATTTTAAACAAACGATCAATGTAGCTTTAAGTTCCAGGATAGTGTGCTTAACATTCAGCAAACTATTGCAAAGTTCTCAAAAGTTTAGCAAACGTTGGTCGTAGGCTTGCAGTTGCAGGAACGTTGGCTTTGGCTGACTTGCTCCAGAACGTTTGCAAACCTTGAGCAAAACACTCCAAAGTGTTCATAGCTTCACCCCAACTTTTCTAACGTGTCCCCACTTCTTTTTTTTTTTTAGTGATCTGTAATCATAGACAGGTCTGTCAGAGCTCCGGGCAGACTCACCAGAGCTCTATGCAAACTATAATCAGCGTTTTCTCAAGCTTTCGCCAAGCGTTCTCAAACTTTCGCCCAACTTCTAAACTTTATTTTGGGGTTCAACTTTAGGAAGTAAAATTTGAAAGATGTGTCAGTAAAATGGTTACCTGACACTGACCGCAGGGTTCAGCTGCCACTCATTGTGATCGATTTATAAAGTTGTATCCCTTAGCGAAGTTAAATGTTCACTTTTCAAAGTGAAATCACTTTGCAAATTGGATGATGGTGAATACGGTGAACTGGTAATCACGTGGGAGGCAAATTAAATATAATAAAACAGGATTTTTGATTGTTCCATATTATTTACTAAGCTAGGAAAACATTCGCTTTGCTAAGTGAAGAGTCTCTATCCCTTCAGTAAATGTAACTATCTATCAGTCTATCTATAAACCTCTGTGTCTATCTATTTGCTAAATTTTGGGATTCAGCTGTGGTGAAAGTTATGGACACATTATGATTTATCTATCTATCTATCTATCTATCTATCTATCTATCTATCTATCTATCTATCTATCTATCTATTTGTCTGTCTGTCTATCTATTTATTATCTATCTTTCTTTCTATCTATCATCATTATCTCTTTTTATTTTTTATAGCTAACTTTCTATCTATCTATTTTATATCAAACAATCTTTCTATCTATCATCGTTATATCTATTTGTACAGTATATCTAACATTCCATTTATCTACATAGTCTATATCTAACATTCTATCTATCAACCTATCTATCATCGTTACATCTATATATTTGTATAGCTAACATTATATCGATCAATCATTCTTTACACAATTAAATGATACATGTATCTTTTACTTTATATACATTTACTATTTAACTATCTCTAGTCCCAAAATATCATCCCCTGCTTTCTTTTGTTATTTTTCTTTGCAATTCCACCTTTTGACATACAAATTCACCTTACAATTATATCC